CAACAGCAACTGTGCAGAGTGCCTCTCCCACTCCGGGGCCTCTGGGGGTGGGGGTGGGGGGGTGTTGTCAGAGAGCCGGTTTCGGCTGATCCCCGCAGGCCAGGCCTAGGGACCCCACCTGCTGGAGGGACCCTGCTCACTGCAGATGCGGGGGAGGGACTGCAGGAGGTTGGCTCCAGGGCATGCCTGGCCCTTCTCCCCATCCCAGCCCCGAGCGAGGGCCACCTTCTAATCAATTTCCTTTCAATGTTACTTGTATATTATAAAGAAATCTGTGATCTGTACTAGTAGACACACAGGTACTGTTAATAGTACTGTAGTGTGCTGTTTACATTAGTAATTAAAAGAAATGCCAACTTCTTGTTAGGTATTAGTGAAGAGGTAATTTCCCCCTAAGTTTATATTATTTTTAAAATATCCACATTAAGACCCCTAACACTGCACACTATAACAATCCTCTCAACACTGCAGTTTAAAAGGACTCAACCCGGGCCCTCTTCCCACACGGGACCCCTTGATGACCCCGTCCAGCCCAGTGGTTTTGAATACCACCTAAGTGATGACTCCGCACGTCACCTCTAGTCCAGGCCTTTCCCCTCAACTCCAGGCTTGGACATCGACACGAGCGTCTAACAGGCACCTCAAACTCATCACGTCTAAAACTGGACGACTGGTCTACTCCCCAAACTTGCCTTCGTGCGTCATCCTCATCATGGTTGACAGCAACTCAATCTAACTGCTCAGACCAAACACCTTGGAACCATCTTGGTTCCTCTCTCACATGCCACATCTGACCTAGCAACAAATCATATTGGTTTAATCTTCAAAATATATGCAGAATTCAACCATGTCTCCCCATCTCCTGTGACCACCATGGTACCAGTCACCACCAGCATCTCCCTCCTCGTTACTAGCCTCCCTGCTTCCACTATCGTTCCCCTGGCACACGGAGAGCCTTCTGCTCACACCTGTGAAAGCTCAGGGAGGAGTCCTTGTAGCAGCTCCAGAGACCTGTGCAATGTGCACCCCCCCAACCCAACCCACTCTTCCTCTTCCTGTTCGCTCCATCCTAGCCACACTGGCAGGACTCACCAAAGGCTTCACCTCGCTGCTGTGAGCTCCTTCTTCCCTCTACTTGGAGCGCTTTCCCACCAGGTAGGAACACGGCCACCTCCCGCCCCTTTAAGGCTCACCCGGTCACCTCATTTTAAACTACAACATCTTCCCCAGAAATTCTGGATCCCCCTTGCTGCATTTTTCAAAGCATTTACCTTTGAACATCCTATATTATTTTCTGTTTGCCATCCCTCACTAGCAGCTGCCCGCAGGGGCAAAAGTTTGTTTTGTACGCCCCATAGTACACCTGTGTTTGGCACAGAATAGACATGTTCTGCTCGAAGAAGAGCATCTCTATCGCTGCAAAGGACTTGCCTGTCTCTAGAAGAGTCCCGTGGGGCCTGACCAGCTCTAAGGTGCAGTGTCCTCAACACCTGGGCCTGGGCCTGCCCAGCAGCAGCCACCGGAAGCAGATCCGCAGGTGCTCACAGCCACTTTCACCTGACACAGAACCTTACGCCACGGGAAAGGCCAGGTCTGACAGCTGTGCCTGATTCAAGAGCGAGCACAAGACAAACACAGAACATCAGGTTCCAACTGTTACTTCAAACTGATTTTACGTGTTTCGTGCCTCAATTTCTTCATGTATCTAAGAACCATTTCAAACAAAATCTAAAAGGAGCCCGTGGTCACTCCTTCCCCCAGCCTGTCACCGCCTCCAGCCGCCTCATCTCATCGGGCTGGACGTAAACTCCTCACTCCCGTTCTTCCTGACGCCCGGCCAGAAGCAATGCCCGTGCCACACTCTGTGCTGAGCGCTTTCCACACGTGATTCTCATCGATCCCCCCAAAGCCCTGAGGTGCTGCCATCACACACCTACTTCAAAGATGAGAAATCCAACTCGGAGAGATGAAGCCACTTGTCCAAGGTTCAACTAGCGCTCAAACCCAAGTGTGACTGGAAGTCCTATTCTTTACCCCACACTATGCTGCGCCTCTCTCCGTCTGATACCCACCACCTCACAGGGCTTACTGTCACTTCACTTCTCTAGGCTTCAGTTTCTGCATCTGTAAAACAGGGGATGATGTCCAGGATGCCCATCGAGATCCCCTCAGTTCTCATAATAGAAAACACTTTATAATCCTTTATACAGCCCAGGCAGGTCCGTACGCACACACATTTCAGAACTTACTTAGTCCCTGTTAGCAATCCAAAGCAGTGGCAACAGAAAAGCAGAGAAAAAACTGTAAGACCTGATGTAAAACAACAAAAAGTCTCGATTCCTCTCCACTCATGTCTATCAAGATGCACTTGGGTCTATTTTTCCACAGGGTATGAAGAATCATGTTTTTCATAATTAACCTGGGAAGGAGCTGGAAGCAGGCACGCACGGTCCCAGGCCTGCCCCGCTAGCCTGCACCGCACAGGTGAGCAACGGGAGCTTTACTGGGTCACGACTTCTGTTCTTTTAGGCTTTCCAAGCCCCAAACCAAAAGCCAGTACCAGGAGCTTTGTAATGCCACCAATGACGGTGCAGCGAATCAAAACAATCTAATTAGGATTCTGTTAACCTATAAGCAACACCCCGGGCGAGGAGAGAAGCCACGTTGTCAGCGCGGATTGCACATAAAGAGCCGGGTCCCGCTGCGGCGAGGCGGGCAGCCCTTCCTCCTTTTGTGCGGAGCTGCCCACCAGCACCCCCAACAGAACCAGTCCCTCGGTGTCGGCCTGGAAACTAACGACTGTTAAGATCCAGGCAGTTCTGGACCAAGGGGAAGAGACCTGGGAAAGGGCTGCAAAGGGAAAAGGAAGGGGAAAGAGAGCCAGGGGAGAACTAAGGTAAAAAGTGTCCAAAGAGGGGGCTGCGGGGACCCTTCTGGCCTAAAAGTAACAGTTTCGTGGGGAACCCCTTCGTGGGGCCGGTCTGGCTTCCCGGCACCAGCGAGCAGCTGCAGAAGAACCGCTTTGCAAAACAATAGTCTCCGCGGACAGCGAGTCCAGGCTGAGGGGGCGCCCCGAGGTGCACGGCGCTCCTGGGGGGCAGACACGGCCGGCCCCCGTGCAGGGCCGCCCCGTGGTTGCAAAAAAAAAAAAAACGGCG